AATCAGGAGCCCAGAGGAAGGGGCAAAGGAGGTGAGGGGGTGGGGGCAGAAAGAGGAGGCGAAAGCAGACGACAGACCATTGCTAGAGAGCAGGAAATGAGGTGAAAGGAGACAAATTTAGAGAAGAAAATATTTTCGGTCGCTACCCGGATTCGAACCCGGGACCTTTTGAATGAGAGACCAACACCTTAACCTCTAGGCCACGAGAGCCCCCTGTTTAAGTTTAAGACAATCACCTGTACATTCCAGCAGAAAGGTGCATACTAATTACATTCGACGAAGCAGAGCTTCCAACTTACGAATACAACTCCAGACTTTTTTCATGCAGTTCAGAAGAGCCTTAAGCAGGGTATATGTTTGATAGAAATTCTAGGAAAGAAGGAACAAAACCACACCAGAGCACCCGCCAACCACCCACAGTTTAGAGGAGTTACTTGAGTCTAACCCACAAGGAAAAGAAGGAGGACAGAATTTATGGACAATAGATGTTAGACAGTATTTCGTCTTTGTTTCTTTCTTCCTTTCTTCCTTTCTTTCTTCTTTCTTTCGTCTCTCTTTCTTTCTTTCTTTCTTTCTTCTTTCTTTCTTTCTTTCTTTCTTTCTGTCTTTCGTTTCTTTCCTCTTTCTTTCTTTCTTTCTTTCGTTTCTTTCCTCTTTCTTTCTTTCTTTCCTTCTTTCTTTTTTCTTTCTTTCTTTCTTTCTTGCTTTCAAGGAAAAGAAGGAGGACAGAATTTATGGACAATAGATGTTAGACAGTATTTCGTCTTTGTTTCTTTCTTCCTTTCTTTCTTTCTTTCTTGCTTTCTTTCGTTTCTTTCTTCTTTATTTATTTATTTCTTTCTTTCTTTCTTTCTTTCTTTCTTTCTTTTCTTTCTTCTTTCTTTCTTTTTTCTTTCTTTCTTTCTTTCTTTCTTTCTTTCTTTCTTTCTTTCTTTCACGAGTCTGTATGTTTTAAAAAGGCAGCGGAAATTGTCGAGAGTAAAAACAAAATATTGCCTCGTAAAATCTGAAGCGGCTCCTGAGAGTCATAAAGAGCTGTGTGTGCGGTGGTAAAGCATTCTACGTCTACGAGTGTGGTTGGCGGGTGCTCTGGTGTGGTTTAATTCTTCTTTCCTGTCAAACATCTATCGTCTTTATCTCCCCTCCTTCTTTTTTTTGGGGGGGTATGTTACTCTCTTGTAACACCTCTAACCTTCGGTACTTACATGACCTTATTGTGTTGCAAGTGCCTTAAACTCTTACTGAAAGTAAAAGCGTTCTAAGTTAGTTCTAACAGTTCTATGTCCTGGAAACGGGAGAGCTGACAGAAGGACACGCCCATAGCTGGGATTGTGATTACATGTGAGAGGTTGTGGGGGG